TGCCCACTGCCCCTCCCCACTGACCCAGAGGCAGCCCAGGAGGGGCTCCAGCCCCTCGATGGAGAGACTTGGAGCTAAAGGCTCAGAGGCTAAGGCTCCTGGTTTAAAGAGGGATAGTAATTTCTTTTTCTCAAGGCCAGTACTAGTGAGGCAAGCAACATATGTAGGGCACAAGATTTAAGAAGCTTTTCACTCCCAGGGTGGTGCAAGTGGCTCTCTTACCCGGGGCCAATAGCACAGGGGTGTGTGCGAACACACATCGTGCAAGTCAGTGTTTCTCAGAGTGTGGTCCCCAGATGTAGCTTGGCAGGAACACCTCCTTGGAGAAGTTCTCAGGCCCATCTGAGACCCACTGGGTCAGAAACTCAGGGGGTAGGGCTAAGCGATCTGTCCTAACTCACCTACCAGGAATTCTGATGTGGTTATAGTTGGAGGAGCCCTGTGCTAGAGAATCATGCTCTCCAAAGCCAGTCCTGTAGCATATATAAGACCATCTCTCCAAATGCTTCACCTATAACCAGAACAGGGAAAGGGTACTGTGATAAGGCTAAAGAGGCTTTCCCAAAGCCATTGGCAAAGGAGGAACCCCTCTGATAAGAAATCAGAAATTGCCTCTTTCCAGTTACTCCTAAGTAAACTGTGCCAGTCAAGACCTGGCAATGGCTGGTGATAAAGATTACCATTAAACTAGTTGCTGTTTCTTCCCCTAATTAGAAAGCTCACACTTAGCACCCAGTGACTGCTCTGTGGCATGGGCAAGCCATTTGAATACCCTAAGCCTAAGGGCTCCTTTCCCCCTCTCCCATAAAAGGGGGCTAACACTACCCACCTGGGAGGGTCAGAGAAACTAGTGTATGCAAAGCCCCAACAGAAGCCTGTGGCAGTTTATACATCCTGCCAGGGTTCTGGGCTGCAGCCCTCTCCAGGGAGCCAGGTTGGATGATTAGGAGCTTGAGACACCGGAGTGAGGAAGGAGGTTAACTGGCTTCCTTTTTGCTGCTGTGTTTTTTAAAGGCTATTTTCCAGTGCAGATGGTCTAGGGCACCAGGCTTCTAAATAACAGTGAACAAGTGAAAAAGAAAGGAAAGAAGGAACCTCAGTATCTGCCATTTGGTAATGAGATTCACACATTTTTAACTATGGAGATGAAGGGTAAGGAGACACTTCTGAAGACCCTGCATTTGTCACTGGAAACCAGACAGTATGGATCAGTGAGACAGTGACCACAGCCCACCAGCTGAGTAATCCCAGGCATTCCATGGACTTGGTCTGCTCTTGCCAGTGCTGGATTACGAGCAGGAAGGAGGTCGAGGATGAAATCACGCAGCAAAAACATCACTTCAGGCACAAGGTAAATGTGAGGTCTGAGAACTGAGTTTCCGTCGATGAATTACAGGACCATTGTTGCAGAGCTAGGTGAGAATGCATACCATGAAACTTCCCCAGCAAGGAAAGGCTGCCGACCTGCCATGGGCACACAGCTGGTGGGTGACAATCATTAGCTGTGCCTCCTTTTGCCCTTCCAATAAGGAGTGTTGAGACAGGGCACAAATTCTAGAGGCACCCACACACCCCGAGGCCAGGTAAATTAAAAAGGCCTCTCTCATCTCTCCCTTGGCCATCCTTTGTAGCACAGCTGACAGTTGGAAGGAGGATCCATGACTCACGCTTTTCCTCCAAGGGAAATTAATTCCAAGATAACATTATCCATGTGGAAAAATAAAGTAAAATAAAAGCCAATTCTCAAGAAAGAGAGTTAACATGGGCCCCTCTCCACTGCCCCCTTACCTTCCTCATTTAACATCCATGGCTGAAAAGCAAACACCGACTCAAAGCCACAAGTGCTCTCTTCAAAGGCACAGGACCCAGCCGGCAGGTCCAGGGCTTCTGCAAGCTGCAAGACTGTGGGTACAAAGAGAGTTTCAATTCAGGCTCCCGTCCCAGAGCGTTTGCACCAGTTCGGGGAGCTACTGGGACCACTTAAGGAAAGTGGGGATACGGCACGGGAAAGGATGCATTAGCTCTCCCCCCACACCTCGGAGCGCATTTTCTGCGCGACCCAATGCCCACCCTCATTCCAGGCTTGGTCAGGAGAGGACAGGTTAGCGACGGCAGAGAAGGATTTAGAGGCGCTCTCAAATGGCCCAGCCAGCACCTCGAGCCCTGCTACCCTGGGGAGCAGGCGCCAGAGTGAGTAGCGAAAGTGCCCCCCGGGCGTCTTCTCCGGTCTGGCCTTACCTTGCACCGCCAGGAATATGCCCCTTAGCAGCATGCTCGCGCTTCGGCCAGAAGGACGCGAAAAGGGTGCAAGCTCTCTGTCCTGTGGGGTGGGCTGCTTCTGGTGAAACGGGAGCCTGAGAAGCTGCGGAGCCGGGACCAAGTGAAGAAGTGGAGGGTCCAAGCGTGCGCTTGGAGTTGCCCGACTCTGCAGAGCGACTCGGGAGCTGGCGGCCAACTAGGGGTGCCTGAGTGAAGAGCAGCGTGGCGCTGTGTGCAGCCGCTGCTCAGACCGCGGTCCTGGGCGACTCTGGGACTGGGCAGGGAGGAGACAACTGCACATTTTTGAAAGGCCAGCCACGCCTGGCCGGGAGAGGGGAGAGAAGAGGTCGGCACTCCGTGCTTTTGCTCCAGATTTAGGAGCAGATCTCCTCGCAGATACTTGGAAGGGGCAGGCTTTGCAGGAGCCCTGCGCTGGATTGGGACTGGAGGCGCCCGCCCCGCCCATCCGCGGTGAGAACCAGCTTATTTCTGGGGACAGCCTCCCCGCATCTGGCATGTCAGTCTTGCAGGGCTAGCCCTAATTTTAACAACTCCTCTCCGGAATGAAAGGGGGTGGAATTCTCCTAGGAAGCCTAGAGGAAATTTTGGAAACGTTTGGGTGGAATAAGCTTTATATCTCGGGAGTTTCAGCACGATGGCCCCCAGAATACCACTTTTTTGAGCCAGTGGAATGTTTGGCATGCCTGGTGCTCAGCATTCCCTCCGGTGATACAGGGGCATTCCTCTTCTCCAAAGAGCCATGATGGATTGATTCCTAGGAGATTCTAAACTGGGGTGGGGAGGATGAGGGGTGAAGGTGTTGGAGAGATGGTTACTTTTGAGGAGTCTTTGCATCAAGTTTGCTTTGAGCATTAAGTGGGTCTCCAGCAATATTCTCATCCAGTAAAAAATTCTACTCCTTCCTCTGCCTCCTCTTTCATTCTCTATAATTTGTGCAGGTGATTTTGTGATCAAGGCAGTGGTTCCAAAACAAGGGTGCCTAAAACAAAACCAAAACAAGCAAACAACAACAACAACAAAAAACAAGGATGCCTCAGACTCCCTGGGGTGGGGGAATGTCACCCTGTCAGAGTTTCTGATCCGTATTGAAGCAGGTGCGCCTCCATCTTGTGATGCACCTTCATTTTGAACGCCTCTCTGTATTGGAAACTTGCTTTCCCCTTTTGCCTAGAGTAAATAGAGAGACTAACATTCCCACTCTCTTTGCTAAATACCCCCAAATTCTGTACCCTTAGATGTTCCTTAGTGATGTAATCATCCATGCCAGATGCCTTGCCCCGAGCCATGAAGACCATTAAGATTCCCTTGTGTTTGTGTAAGGACTAGAAAGTACCCAACCCTAAAGATGCCCCAGGTAACAGTGTTTAATTTTGCTGATGGGCAAATGCTTGTGCAAGATCACTCTTCCCCTTGTCGCCTGCCCCTGCTCAACAGTTACTGCCCCTGCCACATCAACCCAAATATATTTTTTGCCTTTATAAACCCCCTTCTTCTACACTCAGGGCTGCGGGTTTTGGAGAGACATGAGTCCTCCTGCAGTCGGTGGGCCTATTAATAGACTCCAATAGTTTGGGTATGTCTGGATGGCCTCTTATTTCTCACTGATTAGACTATAACAGTATCTCTGGAGTGGGGCCCAGAATTCTGCACATTTGTAACAAATTTCTAGGAGGTTGCTGCTGATGTTGCTGATCTCAGACTATGCTTTGAAGGCCACTGGCACAACAAACTCCTATTCAGCCATCAAAGCCCTGCTCCCATGCCTTTACCAGGCTTCTGGAGAGTGAGCTCCTCCTCACTCTCCTTTGCTCTTTGTTATCTCTCTGGCCCCTTAACATTCTGTCCTTTAATCTCCTGTTTTCTTTCTCTACCCTCTTCCTCAGTGATTTCAACCAACCTCATCATTTTAAATACCATTTATAGGCGATGACTCCCTAATTTATATTTCTAACCCAGACTGCTCATAACTCCTAACTTCCATGAGACTCTTCTATCTCCTAGCCATCCCAACATTTTCAACTGGATGCTTCAGAGCTGTCTCATACTTAACAAGTCCCAACATGAACACCTCCTATTGCTTTCCATACCTGCTCTCCTCCTGCATCTTCCTTTATCTCAGTTTAAAATATACATATACTTTCCTCCAGTTACTCGGGACAACAAACATAGAGTCATCCCAGACTTGTCTCTTCTCATCAAGACATTACCAAATCCCGTCAGCTCAGGATTCTGAGTCCAGCAGGTGGAGCCGGATGGTGGCACAGCAGTACTGTAACTGGGCCCAAGGGGAGGTCCAGGGTTCATGTCTCAGAGCCTTCCTCTGCGCTCCAGGCCAGCTGAGATGGGGTGGATTACAGTGTAAGGACTCTTTGGAGTGTTTGTTTCTCTTTCTTTCTCATGAAAGAAATAAAATAAACTTTAAAAAATAAAAAGCAGGTGCTGGCCCTGCTCCACGTCTGTGGCGATGCCCAGACACAAGTTCCGTTGCTGAGCGGGGGGACTGCTGTGGTTTCCTTGCTTCCTCTTTCTCGCTCACTCTGCTCCATCCTGAACACGGTGGTCAAAGCCATCCTCTTCGTACAGAAACGGGGCCAAGTTCTTCCTTGCTGAAGACTGAACTTCCCAAATCATCTAGCAAAATTGAAAGCCTTCATAATGACTTACTATGTCCTCCAAGACTTGTTCCCACCCTTTTATTTCTCTGACTTCAGCCTCTCTGCTTATGGCCCCCAGCCACATGGACCTCTTAGCTGGTCCTTAAACACAGCTCAGCTGAACTCTCAGGACTTTGTACTGGCTGTTCCCCTGCTTGAAATGCTCTTCCCCAAAGAGCCACATAGCTCTCTCTGCCTGGTGAGTTCTCCACTCAGATGTCATCTTTAGTATTAATATATATATGTGTGTGTGTGTGTGTGTGTGTGTGTGTGTGTGTGTGTGTATGTATGTGTATATATATATATGTTTTTGTTTTTTTTTTTTTGAATAAGAAAAATGTATTTGGGATCCTTCATTAAAACTCTGAGCACGGCTAGTCCTCTGGCCTAGTAGTTAAGGGTGCCAGATCTCACATGGTTGCAATTAGAATCCAGGTCCTTGGCAGTTTGAAAAACACGCTGGGCATGTGTGCACACCTGCTTCCAAAACCCAACAATGCGAAAAAATGGAGGAGAAAGGATTGCAGTGTGACCAGGCTCCACTGAGGGGTGCTTTCTAACTCTCTCTTTCTGTCTTTCTGACTCTCACTGGTGACCACCTGGCCCTCTGGCTTATAAACAGAAACAAGCTTTTGGAAAAATTGTGTTGCATTTTCTGTTAGCAGGACTCAAATGAGCTAAGATTTGTTTTGTGTGTGCTATTTGGTATATGTGTGGGTGTTTATGTGCTTTGCCTCAGGTGATAGCTAATAAAAATAAACATTTGTTGTGTTTGCTATTATATGTAAATAATCTGATTTAAACTTCACAAAAACTTTATAGGGTAGATATGATTTTATTCCCATAAAGATGGGGAAACTGCATTGCAGAATTCAGGAACAGCATGTAGCTGAGATAAGACTCAAATCCAGATCCGTTTTATTCTTTGAGCGAGTTTTTCAACGGACTCAGTAGCCTATCTCCTTTGCCTATATTCTTTTTTGGCTTCTTGACTTCAGATGGTGCTAAATATAGGATGAATTGAATTAGAAATTTAAAGACAGTTATGAATTCAGTTGAAACTTTTAAATGCTACTTTCAACTAAGCAACATTTTAGCAACTATTAAATTGGTACTCCTCTTTTCAGGTACCTACAGAGTATTTCAAAATCTTAGATTTGCCTTTGATTCATGCTGTATGTCCCAAGTCATACAAAAATGAAGAACTTCAAAATCCTAAGAAAATATCCAAGAAATTAAAAATATGACTAAAAACTTAAAGGCAACATTGCTTTTTATTTCTACCTATGGGAAATAGAATCATACATAAATACAAACAGTAACGTTTCTACTTGGCCTGCAATTGCATGCTCCCAAGAACCTTTAGACCTGGTACAGTTTGGGGTGTCTGGGAAACAGACTCCGATCTGGAGTTCAGTGTGTAAGATGTTAACTAGGAGTGCCCTTGGGATCATCATCAGTGGAGGGTGGAAGAGGATGCAGAATTGGGCCAAAGGAGAAAGGACATTTCAAAGCAGGCTGTGCAAAGTCTCTTGTCACCCCCACAGAGAACCCTAGACTTAAAATGATCCATCTGATCCATCCCATATTAGACTGAAACAACTGGGCATTTATACTGTTGCCTCTGTGAGTCACTGGATGTGACATATCTCCAGACAGGAGTGATTTCAAGTGAGGAAACTTTCTGAACTAGAACAGGACCAGGCCTCAAGGTAGGAACTACCCAGATCTCTAACCTCCAATATTTAGCTCAATCAAATGACCACTAATGCATGTAAAGATCTGGTTTCTGGGGAGCACACAATACTTAGGTATTATAGGTTGAATGGTGGTCCGAAAACAAGCTATGTCTCCCTCCCAGAACCTGTGAATGTGATCTTATTAGGAACATGGGACTGTGCTGAGGTATTCAAGTTAGCAATCTTGACATGGGGTCGTCCTAGATTACAGGTGAGCCCTAAATCAATGGCAAATGTCCTTATGAGAGTCCAGACACATATAAATGGCCATATTAAAATGGAAGCAGAGATTAGAGTGATACAGCCCCGAGTCAAGGAATGCCTGGAGCCATCTGAAGTTGGAAGAGGTACATAACAGATTCTCTCCCAGGGCCTCAGAGGACTATACCCTTGCAGAACTTAAATTCAGCCTCTGGTCTCCAGAATAGTTAGATAATAATTTCTTATTGTTTTTAGCCACCCAGTTTGTAGTGATTTGTTCAGGCAGCCACAGGAAACATATACAGGTAGCGTTATGTATTTTTTAAGAGATTTTTTTTTCTATAAGGCACGTATGCTCGCCAGAGACAGACAGAGACAGAGAGACAGAAGGCAAGAAATCATCTGCCGCAATCCCTTCTCCTCCATTGTCCTCTGAGGATTTTGGGGAAGCACTCACACACACCTGGCATGAGTTTTAAGTTACCCGGCCTGGTACTTGAACTGTGGTCTACTATGTGGGAGTCCAGCAACATAACTATTATGCCATTTGCTGGTCCTGATAGTGTTCTATATTAAGCAAACATGTGTAGGGCACTTAAAGTGCATTATAACACTTAATCTATGCAACATCCCTATAAGGTGGGCATCATTACTGTTCCCATTTTATGGATGAAGAAATAGGACTTGGTGTGGGGGGTGTCAGTTATACTGTTAAAAGGCACACATCCAGCCAGCCTGTAGCCAGGATTTGATCCTGGCTATGTACTACACTGCATAGTACATAGAAAGCTCTAGGGATCTAAAATTTCCTCTTCAGGGAC